CGAAAAACATTGTCCAGCAACTGAAAAATTATTCTTTTCACAATTATTTTTCAGTGATAACATGACACAGTTTTAATCAATAGTTGGATATTCCTCATTTTTCCTCTTGTTTTTTACGGATTCATCTTCATTTTGATAAATTTCATTGAAAAATATTCAGATTTTTCTTTTTTTACCAGAGAAGTCAGTAGATTTAATCTTTTCCACATTAAATAAGTTTATGTTCATGTTATATTTACTCTGTGCTTACTCTTTCCATTCAAACGCGTTAAATTTATGTTAAACAAAACTGAAAAAATGTTTCCTTAAGTAATATAACTCTGAAATCGTTATTGTTTACAATTTCTATTTCCATTGCTCAATGAGAAACTCACTATTTACATGAATTTAATTTTTTAACATTCTTCTAAAATTATTTTCCTCGTTTGTAAGCTTAGAATGTTGAGGGAAAAATATGCCAAATATTTTCCTCCTAGGAAAACATCAATTGTTTACTATACAGTTTAAGGAAAGCATTAATAAGCATTTAATAATTATCATTAACCTTCTGGGAATATTTTCTCATAGAACAAGTGGATAATTGCATGCATTTCCTTGTTGGTATCGTTATCGTTGTTAATAAATTAGCAATTCATCACTGAATGGATATTTTACCATTCTTCTTCTTATTAAATTCATCTGAACAATTTGTATTTGAATTTGATTACGCCAAGGTCTACTTCGGTGGAGCAAATGCATATAAATATGCCCATTTAAAATCTTAAATTTGAATGAATTGCGGAAAAAATTCAGTTTTCGGAAGCTGAATTTTTTTTTCACTACTCTCAATGGAAAGACCTGATTAATTTGTATATCCTCAAAATAATGAAAAATATCGTTATAAAGTTCTTTATCCAAATCGATATCACATTGGAAAAAAGGAATATAGTAAAATAAAATATAAAATCCAGTCAACATAATAGTACATTTATGTACTGACTAATATAAATAAATAATAATATACCCGGTTAAGGTAGAATGGATACGCTGGACCCAAGTATAAAATGAAGTTGATTCAATGATCCTCTTTTTTCATGATAGAAGTTTGTGTTTTCGAACAATTATAAATGATTAGTGGTTAGAGTGAAGTTGGTAAATTTTTGAAGAGTTAGTTTTTTGGGGTATAGGTACCGTCTGTGCAAGACTCAGTTGGATAGCAGCTGTGGGACAGCAGCGTCGCGACCGTTTGGTTTGGTTCTTGCGTTTGGCGCGTGCCCGGGTGGCTTCTGCCTCTCTCTTCCTCAGCTAAGACCTCTGTTTCTTATTCGAGGGGTTCAGTTATACACCGTGTACCTCCTCCGAATGCCTTTGGCACCTGTTCTCCAGCTGATGTGCGGGCTTAAGTATCAACTAGATGTTTTTTTCCTGTTTTTTCATCATACACTGTCAGAAATTACTTGATACTTTACTCGTCTCTACTTTCAATTATGGCTGTTTCAATTCTATTTCAATTCCAAATATTCGCTCTTCAATTTATTATTCGTCTTGACAATACAGAAAAATGGGTTTTTCGTCAGGTCTTTGAACAGTTTTTGCTTTTTCAATTAAATTTTTAATTTTTAGACTGCTCCTTAAAATTTAACATTCAATATAATTCACTTTTTAATTAATTAAAAATAAAGAGAAGGTGTTATAGAAGATGTTACAGAATTTTTAAACAAAGAATATATGTTGCCCATTTGAAGACTATCTTTTTTTTGTAAACATTCTGACATGTTTTTCTAAAGGAGATATTTTCAGAGTTATTTTTTAAATTATGTATGAAAGTGGAAAATACATATAATGCGGAAGCTGGTTGCATTGTAATGAGTATCTGACATATGAATGGACGCAGAAGACAATTTTTGGCCCTCTGTCTATAAGTATTGTTTATATGGAGCTAATGCTACCAAATAGTTCATTAAACCGAAGAAACATTTCAATCTTATATGACTGCGGTATGATCACCGGCTTGTCTTCCGGACCTTATATTCGCTCGATTTTTTTTTCGTCCCTAATTACAAAAAATATTCTGTAGCAAACTTATCTCAATCTATAATTGAAATTTCCGCACATTTTTTTTTCGAACATATTTCACTGAATATCATTCCATACATCATTTGATAAAATCTTCTAGATTTTTTCCTCTCAAAGACGAAATAGATACTTACAAAAAGTTGCAGATATTTATAGATATACTGAAAATGATATCGTTCTCCAGAATTGTTTCTTCATGCATTTTCAGAACCAATTGTGATTGCTCGTTTCGCTCCCATGGCGTTTGACTGCTGAACAATTCTTTATCGCCTATTGTCTGCATTTATACTCTCTAAAAAACAATGACACTTCTGAAAAATATTGGAGGAAAACACTGAATATTATGAATGCATATTACATGGTTTTTTCAAAGTTTTAGCAATATAAAATATACTTCTGAAAAGTGTTTTTGTTTGTTGATAGCAAGCTTTCAACAAAGTATTTAAATACTTATGGAAGGTAACATCTGTACTTGTTGTCTCAGTTTCATAAAACTTGAGCTAAAATGAAAGATCTCTGGTCATAATTTTTAAAGTAATTTCTTCACTAATCAGCAGTAATCCTTCTCTAGAGTGTTATCGATAACGATCGTTCGATAAGTGACAGTTGAACTATTTTCATGAACTCTCGCTTTCATTCACTCTTTTCTTCTTAGAATGGACGAAATTGCTTCCACGAAAATACAAACTCAAGGGTGTGACTATCGTGGACATAATTATAAAAATATTTATATATAATATCGGTCAATTATATTTTCCCAATTTATGAAAAATATATTCCAATATACATATAAAATATGTATTTTATATATTTTTATAGACCCTGTGCCAATGCAACACATTAAAAATATCTTCTAAAACATAAATTAATTTAGGCAAGGAAGTGCAATCGCCCAATACATTTGTTTTTTTCTTAAAAAAAAAATAAAATTCCCACTTATACAAAGTTTCATAAAAAAAATTCGCTGAGATGGTTCTAATATACTGATGTTTTTCAAAAGTAATTTCTGGACAATAATTCTCAAATTATTATTTGAGAATGTAATCGACATGATATAGTTAAACTATTCACTCTCGTTCTCTTTCATTCTTTAATTTTCTGGATGAATGAAATTTTGTCCGTGGAGAAAGAAAAAAAAGGTAAAAAAAAAAAATGAAAATGCAAACCGTATGGCGTGAGGTCCAACAACTTGGTACACTCCCACGCTCACTGTCCATGAAATGGGGTGCGAGAAGGTGCAGCCACATACACGCAGGTGTTTAGCTCAACCGACCCATGCAACCGAGTCCATCCGTGCATCAAAAGGATATGTGTACACGCGTATATGTATGACCCTCTCTCTTCCTTGCACTCTATTTGTTACGCTTATCCTCTGTCTCTATGTCTTTTTAAGCCAACAAAGTGCGTGCCCATCGTGCATTAACATTGCGCTTTTTTATTTTTCACGTGGCCGTGAACCCACCGACTTAGCAAGTCTTATTTCCTATTTTTTTTTTCATCAAGTATATCCATGAAAATTATGAGTTGACAGTTTTTTTCTCTAACCATGAAAAAATTCCGCATGTAATTCAAGCTATGCTCAAGTTATTCTTCAACTTGGTCTCTCAAATTATGTCCAATCGTCATCGTTAGAGTTTCAACGAATTTCGTGGTTTTTGAAACAATCTATAGGGCGATTAGTTTGCTGCAAACAATGAAAATTTGACAAGTCATGTCTCTTTATTTTCATTTTCTATTATACACTTTTGTGAATTGAATTGGGAACAGTATAGGCATTGATTTTCTTCGTGATTTTTTTTATGGCTGTAATCCTCAAATTATTACTCTTTTATTTCGTATGGAGACTTTATGGGACAGATGCGTTAATTGTCTCCAAACTCAGTCGATCTGCATTTATTTGACAAATGAATTGTGAAATTTTGCTAAATGTTCCATTTTTGTTCTATTTTTCTATTCTTAATGTTTATTTTATGAATAGATTTCAGATAAATCTCAAGTATTTCAACAGTGATGAAATTCAAGGGAAATATTTTTAATGTCTCTATTTTGAGCCAATAAAAATGAATATCCGGTCGATATACCAATTGACCACTCGGAATTTCTCAAATATTTAGCATATAAAACAGAATTTATAAACTCGTAAATTTCATACGGGCAGTTCATAATCCCAGAGTAAAAGCAAGATTAATACTTTACGATTCCACCATTCGTTCTCGTTGAAGTTCCAATGAAACACTTGGAAAAATGGATCTCAATGGAAAAACCCAACATGTAATTTTGAGAAATATCTGAAACTATCGGATCTCGACGATTTTTCGGAGGAATTGCTTTGTATAAAATCTATGTATCTATCTGTCACTATCTATCGTCTTCGAAATGTTAACTAAACAACTTAATAGAATAATTCCAATCAAATATATACTGAGAAAAGTAATTACTTTTGCCAAATAAATTTACTTGGCAGAAATAAATGCATTCAGTAAAATATATAAAATGCAATTTTCTCGCCGTTTCGATGAACGAAAAAAGTGTTTCGTTGAGGCCTTAATATTCGCAAAAATTATTCTTTTTTTTTTGAGTCTAAAAGAAGACAGGGTCTTTAAAAAGACATGAAAGGGAGATTCGAAAAATAAAATCTGGCAAAAAGTTTTGCATTCTGTCACGAGGGAAAGGATGCCGATAGAGGGAGAGGCGGAGCCTCGACGAGCCAATGATGAACGTTCCCGCCCACAAGTTTCACCCGTTATTCCCATGCCCCATCTCTCTTCTTCCCACAAATCAAATCTCCACATTTGTATCAAACGAAAACACAATTCTCCAGTTAGCTGCCTCTTTATCTTCATTCGCTTCTAAAACCCAAATCGCACCCATCAATTTAAAACTCCATTGGACTCCAACTACATAACAAGTTAAATAACTAATTATTTCAATATTCTATGTTGCAGGTGGTTACAACCATTTACGCAGCCCAGTGTGCCAGGATGATAGCCAGAGAGATGAAACCTCACCACCACCGCACAATCATAATTCTCAACAACAAAATTCTCACTCAACAACTCCAACTGGCAATCACAATAATAATAATAACAACAATAATAATAACAATAATAACGCCAGTAGTGCGTACATACACTTACGGAATTTGAATCAGCTCAAAGCGGAAGGTAAATAGCTTAAAATATTATTTACCTATCTACATTATAATATCACTGGTGAATATTTGAGAAAGCACTCATCCTTGAATATAATTCGACAGAATGTCAATTTATTCATGTAATATCTTGGATGGTTTCCATAATTAAAATTGTTGTATTATATTCGTTGAGAACATATTCTTTTTTTATTCACGGAATTGAAGTATACTATAAAATTTTGTACAGATCATGTTGTATATTCAAAGAATGGTTTTCCCAATCTCATTTCTCACGAGAATTAAAGTTTAGTAGAGTTTAGAAAAAGAATTCTACTTTTCAACTCCAGTTACGGTACAATTATGACTCTTCTTCGTACAATCTGTTCTAATTTTTAAACCATTCAAAAAAACTTGCAGTAGATAAATTGTGTACAATTTACTTTTTTAATCTTTATTAATAATACATATTTGTTACAAATCGTCTTCTACATTAAAAAAAAACTGCTCAACAACAAAATCGTCAGTCGATTCTTCTTGAAATCGTAAAATAAAGAGTCTCCAAGGAAAAAAAGGCTGAAAAAAATCTATTTCTATTTCTATTTTGTTGAAATTTAGTATATTCTATATGAGATCCAAGTATACACTTCTTTTCTGCGTGATTATTCTAACCCAGTGAAGAATAATTTCTAATGTTTGCGAATTGATTACATTGCAGCGAACTACGGTAGTCACCATATACCCGAACACCTGCAGAGCAGTGGTGGTGGTATGCCAGGTGGTGGTAGTGGTACTGATCTCGGTGCAACTGGCAATAACGAGAGTGATTTACGGGTCAACAATGCACCAACAGACAGTTACATGACACCAGCCCATTACTCAGGTTACGACGAGTCATCGGAGTACCATAATCTCCAACAGGAACATCAAACACCCCATCCTTATAATTTGGATGGCTCGCCGGAGTTCTACGGAACAAGTGGAATTCATCTGGAGCCAAAATATCAGCCGCCGCCCTTCAAAAATTATCCGAGGGGCCGCTATCACGAAGGCTACAGTGAGGGTGGTTATGGACAATACGATCAGACACCTTTTCAAACGGTTCCAGGCAGTGGAAATCCTACTGGTGGATCGAATGCTGGCGTCGGGGGTGAACAATGGGGTGTTGGACCACTTGGAGAACATTTATCTCATCATCCTGCCTTTTTGGCTGGCCTCGCACCACGAGACTCAACGAATCCTCATCATCCAGCTTCTATCGCCAATAATCCTGATCAGAAGCCATTGCTGCAGAGTGCTATGCTAGCTGGATACACTGGTAAAATTTCTTTGACACCTTCATTTTTTAATTTACTTTCTCCTTATTTTTATCGTTAACATTAACAAAAAAAACTCCAAGTGTTCCTACTCTTGTATTCATTGAGAGCCTTCGACTTTATACCTGATACCTGAAATTAGAACTCAATTTAGAGGCAAACAATTCAAATTATTGGAA